TACCTGATTCTACCTAAGTTTCAGTCTTGTCCATGCTGACGGGCAACAAGGACTCATCTCAATCCCAGGGTTGTGGATTCGAGCCCCGTGTCAGACAACAATATTCCTGTACTGCAGGGGGTTGGACTGGATGACCCTTGTTAGGCAAAGGCAAAGGACCCCTGGACGGTTAAGTCCAGTCAAAGGCAACTACGGGGTTGCGGTGCTCATCTCGTGTTCAGGCCGAGGGAGCCAGCGTTTGTCCGCAGACAGCTTTCCGGGTCATGTGGCCAGCAGGACTAAACCGCTTCTGGCACATGACAGAAACCAGAGCGTATGGAAACGCCGTTTACCTTCCCGCCGGAGTGGTACCTATTTATCTACTTGCACTGGTGTGCTTTCGAACTGCTAGGTTGGTAGGAGCTGGGACAGAGCAACGGGAGCTCACCCCATCGTGGGGATTTGAACTGGCGACCTTCTGATCAGCAAGCCCAAGAGGCTCAGTGGTTTAGACCACAGCGCCACCCACATCCCTTGAGTGAGATGGACCAATCGTCTGACTTGGTGGTATAAGGGAGCTCCTTAGGTTTCCCCTCCTTTCTCATTTAGTGGTGTGGCTCTCTGGATATTCAGTCCTAGCTATCAGCCTCCATGGGAGTTTTCCACCCATAAGGGCGACTCCTAGTTGCTCTGTCCCACAAGCACACCCCAACTCAGCCCCTTGGCTGATGGACCACAGAACTCAAGCAGACACTATCCATCATGAAATCAAGCCGCGCGAGAGTGGGTGGGGTGCTGAGCTCCCTCTCTGACAGGGTTCCCAGAGAGGTGGAGACGGAGGGCTGGTCTTCTCCTGCCCAGCGATTAATTATTTCCCCAGGTAATGATAAATCCAGTCTGTCACTCCTTCCAACACACACAGAACAGCAAGAGTTGTGGGAGAGGTTCCCTTCAAGGGAATCAGGAGATTCATATGTGCAGTTTGGTACATATCATTTATGGTAGGGATGTGAGTTGGTGTGAGATTTTCGGAATTGGATTTCGACAGAAATGGTCAGTACAGTGCTGCCTCAGGTTAAGTACTTAATTCGTTCCAGAGGTCCATACTTAACCTGAAACTGTTCTTAACCTGAAGCACCACTTTAGCTAATGGGGCCTCCTGCTGCTGCCGTGCCGCCAGAGCCCAATTTCTGTTCTCATCCTGAAGCAAAGTTCTTAACCTGAAGCACTATTTCTGGGTTAGCGGAGTCTGTAACCTGAAGAGTATGTAACCTGAAGCATATATAACTTGAGGTACCACTGTATTACAAAAGAAACCGTTGCTTCTTGTACATAACTAACATCGCTGAATATTTCTGATGACATCAATGTAGAAATATTGCCAAAAGAAATGGAATTATATATGATCTTGGCAGCTCAAATAGTAACTGCAACTCAATGGGAAATACCCCCAAATGAAAATCTTACACTGAACGCATGGTACCAGTCACTTTGGGAAAGAGCTACAATGGAGAGAATTGTGCATAATTTGAGATTTGGACAAAGTCTAGAACCTGCAGGCTCTTTTAATATGCTTGTCGCTCCTTTATTACATATGCAACAGGGCCATCGTTTTCAAGACAATCCCCTTCACAAGCCTAGCAAATCTGGAACTAGACTTGACAATCGGATAGCACTAATATTCTGTACTTCATCATTTTAATCTTTGTGCAACTGTGCTAATTCTTATGTGCCTGTTTTATAGTTTTGTTTTTATATTTTAATTTTCATCTGACGTTTCAACTGTTCTCCCCTGCTATATATGCATTATATAATAATAATAATAATAATAATAATAATAATAATAATAATTACCAAAAAGATCTGTCAGGGTTCCTTCCACCAGCCACACAGCAAGCGTGGCCAAGGTTCAGGGATGGTGATGGGGGCTGTACTCAGTCACCATGTTGGCTACCCCTGCCCTAAAGCTTTTGGCAATTGCCATGAGCCTAGTGCTGAAGCAACATCTTCCTCATGGGTAGGCAACCCAAGGCCTGGGGGCCGGATCCTGCCCAATCGCCTTCTCAATCAGGCCTGTGGACGGTCTGGGAATCAGCATGTTTTTACATGAGTAGAATGTGTGCTTTTATTTAAAATGCATCTCTGGGTTATTTGTGGGGCATAGGAATTCGTCGTCCCCCCAATATAGTCCGGCCCCCCACAAGGTCTGAGGGACAGTGGACCGGCCCCCTGCTGAAAACGTTTGCTGCCCCCTGGTCTTCCTCCTGCTCTCAGCTCCCAGGCTGCTGTCCGTGGTCCTGAACTTCTTGCTCCTGCATTCTAACCCACAGCCAAATCACTGACCAGCCATTCCTAAAGCATGGGTAGGCAAACTAAGGCCCGGGGGCCGGATCCGGCCCAATCGCCTTCTAAATCCGGCCCGCGGATGGTCCGGGAATCAGCATGTTTTTACATGAGTAGAATGTGCCCTTTTATTTAAAATGCATCTCTGGGTTATTTGTGGGTCATAGGAATTCATTCATTTTTTCCCCTCCAAAATATAGTCTGGCCCCCCACAAGGTGTGAGGGACAGTGGACCGGCCCCCTGCTGAAAAAGTTTGCTGACCCCTGCTCTAAAGCCTCAGTGTTTGCTCTGTGCAAGGGCATCACCTGTGCTCCTGTCTCCCTTGGATCACGACCCTTGCAATCTGTCCGGAACACAGGTAACTGCAAGATTGTTAAGATTTATCCGAGATTTATCCAAACGAGATTTATCCACCTCGTTTTCCAGGTGTATGGAATCACTGAGGTTCTCTGGGCCAGATGAGTGGATAATTTGGGCCACTAATTTCAGTGGGACTAAAAAGGTAAAGGGACCCCTGACCATTAGGTCCAGTCGTGGCCGACTCTGGGGTTGCGGCACTCATCTCGCTTTACTGGCCGAGGGAGCCGGCGTACAGCTTCCGGGTCATGTGGCCAGCAGGACTAATCCGCTTCTGGCGAACCAGAGCAGCACACGGAAACGCCGTTTACCTTCCCGCCGGAGTGGTACCTATTTATCTACTTGCACTTTGACATGCTTCCGAACTGCTAGGTGGGCAGGAGCAGGGACCGAGCAACGGGAGCTCACCCCGTCATTGCGGGGATTCGAACCGCCGACCTCCCGATCGGCCAGCCCTAGGCTCTGCGGTTTAACCCACAGCACCACCCACGTCCCTCAGAATGTAAAACTCATTCTGTTAAAATATCGGCATTTCTCTTTTTTTAAGTGCTCTTTCTTTTGTTCTTGATTCTCCTAACGCTTCTTAATTCAGCAACACTCACAGACTTGGGAGAGAGAGGTGAGCTCAGGTATACATGGCCCATGTTCTTCCAGGCATCTCCCGTAAGCCGTGAGCAAAGCATCTTTCGATACCAGCTGATATATCTCGGATTCCCCCCTGCCCTTTCGCTCCATCTGGTGCCCTGCGTTATTTAAAGCAGCCCAGACAGACAGACCACTGGCTTTGCATCCGCTCCACGGCGGGAGCAGATATATAACTGGATGATGGGTCTTTGTTAACAGAGAAAATCCATTTAAGTTCACTCGCACTTTTCCAATAGGCTGCCATTATGCCTCAGGGGTCCGCAGCGCTAGATCCAGGGTGGAACGGCGCGGACCCAGATTTCAATTGCAGCCTTTTAAGCAATCTCTCTCTCTCTCTCTCTCTCTCTCTCTCTCTCTCTCTCTCTCAGGCTGGCTGATGATTTGCAGTCAAAAACCGGCACTTCAGGTCCAAGTTAGCTGCTGCAGGAGGTCAGAGTGATATGAATAGCATTCTTGGGTATGAAACAACCAGTGCCGGATTTACGTATAAGCTAAACAAGCTCTAGCTTAGGGCCCCACTCTCTTGGGGGGCCCCCCCAAAAAATGTAAAGGGGAAAAAAAACCTGGATGTACATTTCCAAAATATAAGATAAAAAACAAAATAAAACCTACATACAGCAACAGTGTTTTGTGTTGTGTAGGCTCCTAGGATGTAAGTCATGGGCCCCGCCTGCTAGCCTGCTCCCTAAAATATCACTGGTTTGCTGTTTTCTATATATAGGATGCCTGCATTCTGCATGGACTGGTTGCAGGGCAACATGGGCAAATGGCTTGAGATACTTATTAGGTCCATAAATTAGCATGTAGCATATATTTAACCTCTCCATTCGGAAGGAAATCAGCCCTGAGTGCTCACTGGAAGGACAGATCCTGAAGCTGAGGCTCCAAGACTTTGGCTACCTCATGAGAAGAGAAGACTCCCTGGAAAAGACCCTGATGTTGGGAAAGATGGAGGGCACAAGGAGAAGGGGACGACAGAGGACGAGATGGTGGGACAGTGTTCTTGAAGCTACCAGCATGAGTTTGACCAAACTGCGGGAGGCAGTGGAAGACAGGAGGGCCTGGCGTGCTCTGGTCCAGGGGGTCACAAAGAGTCAGACCCGACTAAACAACAACAAATATATTCAACACAAAAAACCAGCGACAATTTGTTGTCGACAAAGGACAGCTGGACATAGAAAGGGCCCTATTACCTTCAGTAGAGGGACGCGGGTGGCGCTGTGGGTTAAAGCCTCAGCACCTAGGACTTGCCGATCGCATGGTCGGCGGTTCAAATCCCCGCGGCGGGGTGCGCTCCCGTCGTTCGGTCCCAGCGCCTGCCAACCTAGCAGTTCGAAAGCACCTCCGGGTGCAAGTAGATAAATAGGGACCGCTTACCAGCGGGAAGGTAAACGGCGTTCCGTGTGCTGCGCTGGCTCGCCAGATGCAGCTTGTCATGCTGGCCACGTGACCCGGGAGTGTCTGTGGACAGCGCTGGCTCCTGGCCTATAGAGTGAGATGAGCGCACAACCCTAGAGTCTGGCAAGACTGGCCCGTACGGGCAGGGGTACCTTTACCTTTACCTTTATTACCTTCAGTAGCTGAGGGCCTCATCAAACCTAAATCCAGCCCTGGACTCAAAGTTTTAAAAAAGCAAATACATCACCTTGCCAACAAAGGTCCATATAGTTAAACCCATGGTTTTCCCAGTAGTGATGTATGGAAGTGAGAGCTGGACCATAAAGAAGGCTGATCGCTGAAGAATGGATGCTTTTGAATTCTGGTGCTGGAGGAGACTCTTGAGAGTCCCATGGACTGCAAGAAGATCAAACCTCTCCATTCTGAAGGAAATCAGCCCTGAGTGCTCACTGGAAGGACAGATCTTGAAGCTGAGGCTCCAAGACTTTGGCCACCTCAGGAGAAGAGAAGACTCCCTGGAAAAGACCCTGATGTTGGGAAAGATGGAGGGCACAAGGAGAAGGGGACGACAGAGGACGAGATGGTGGGACAGTGTTCTCGAAGCTACCAGCATGAGTTTGACCAAACTGGCAGTGGAAGACAGGAGTGCCTGGTGTGCTCTGGTCCAGGGGGTCACGAAGAGTCGGACACGACTAAATGACTAAACAACAACAAAGTGGCGCAAACGGGCGCCCGTGGATGGCCTAAAGCGATCCCATCCATCGTGTTGATGCAGCGAATTTGCAGAGGTGAAGAGACGGTGACGGCAATGAACGGCGCTTTGGTTTGGAGCCGAGCTTTTCCTCCACATGCTGTCTCTCTCTCTCTCTCTCTCTGTGTGTGTACCACTCCAGCCCGAGTGCCGCTCAATTCCCTAGCCGCCTCCCCCTTACCCATCATGCCCTCCACTCGCCTCGTTACTTTCCGATCACGTCCCGGGCACCCCCTCGGGACGGCGCAGAAAATTAACAGCGGTTCAGATCTGAGGAACTTTATGACACGTGTATGATAGGCCTGAACCGGGGTGTAATTGAATGACGGATGAGCTTCCAAGCGCCACATTTCCAGGGAGTAATGAAAAATAGAACTGATATTGACTGAAGGAGCTTTCGGCGGCCGGCTTGGGATGAGCCAGTCCGTTCGGCACGGAGAGAGCATCAATAGGGCGGGTAATAGCTCAGTTATTGTAACTCTGAGAGGAGGGGGGGGTGGAAATGCCATTTGGGTTTCAAACCAGGGGACACTTTGCTATTAACCGGGCTTAAACAGAGAGGAGGCGAGAGGGGAGAGGCAGGTAATTTGTTTCGCTCGTCTCCGGGACGGCTCTGCCGGAGTGCCCCAGTTTCTCTTTCCCGGGGCAGGCTTAAGGTTTGTGAGATCCGGTTTGAGGAGGAGGGGGGTATCAAAGCCTGGCAGGCTTCTGGGCCGGAAGCGCAGAATCAAAGGAAGAGGCGGTCCCGTTTGTTTAATGCATGGGTCGGCAAACGAAGGCCCAGGGGCCGGATCCGGCCCAATCGCCTTCTCAGTCCGGCCTGCGTACAGTCCAGGAATCTGCGTGTTTTTACATGAGTAGAATGTGTGCTTTTAATTAAAATGCATCTCTGGGTTATTTGTGGGGCATAGGAATTTGTTCATTTCCCCCCCCCAAAAAAAATATAGTCCGGCCCCCCACAAAGTCTGAGGGACAGTAGACTGGCCCCCTGCTGAAAATGTTTGCTGACCCCTGGTTTAATGCAAATCCTTCAAGAGAAGACGAATTTACGTGTTCCTTCCAGAGGATCATGGGAGCCCACCTCATCCCACCATTTGGTTCATCTGGTTTCAGTCTTGTCCATGCTGACGGGCAACAAGGAGTCATCTCAATCCCAGGGTTGTGGGTTCGAGCCCTGTGTCAGACAACAATATTCCTGTACTGCAGGGGGTTGGACTAGATGACCCTTGTTAGGCAAAGGACCCCTGGACGGTTAAGTCGAGTCAAAGGCGACTATGGGGTTGCAGCGCTCATCTCTTTTTCAGGCCGAGGGAGCCGGCGTTTATCCACAGAGAGCTTCCTGGGTCATGTGGCCAGCAGGACTAAACTGCTTCTGGTGCAACGGGACACCGTGAAAGAAACCTGAGCACACGGAAATGCTGTTTCCCTTCCCGCTGGAGTGGTACCTATTTATCTACTTGCACCGGTGTGCTTTCGAACTGCTAGGTTGGTAGGAGCAGGGACCAGGAGCTCACCCCGTCGCAGGGATTCGAACCCCCGACCTTCCGATTGGCAAGCCCAAGAGGCTCAGTGGTTTAGACCATAACACCACCCTTGTAGTCCCTTCTAACTCTACAATTCTATGATTACAGGGTTTCAGACAGGAAGTCTCTCTCCCATCGCTACCTGAAGATGCCATTGGTTACTGGACCCAGGGACTTCTTCCTGCTCTACTGCTGAGCTCTGTCCTTTTACTTAAAATTAAGCTTCTGTTCCTCATGTTCTGACTTAAACTGATACCCAAGAACCAGAAATGGCTTTCTACCAAGCCAGGTCATGGACCCCTCCTTACTCAGTACAGTTTACACTGGCTGGCAGCTGCTCTCCATCGTTTCAGGCAGGGGATATTCCCAGTCCTACTTAAAGATGCTATCTGCATGCAGAGCGGATCTGTGGCCCTCTCCTTCATCATTACAAAATTCCACTCGCATCCCACTCACCCCAAATTACAGTATTTTTCGCTCTATAAGACGCACCAGACCACAAGACGCACCTAGTTTTTGGAGGAGGAAAACAAGAAAAAAAATATTCTGAATCTCAGAAGCCAGAACAGCAAGAGGGATCGCTGCGCAGCGAAAGCAGCAATCCCTCTTGCTGTTCTGGCTTCTGGGATAGCTGTGCAGCCTGCATTCGCTCCATAAGACGCACACACATTTCCCCTTACTTTTTAGGAGTGAAAAAGTGAGTCTTATAAAGCAAAAAATACGGTAGTTTCCCGGAGAGGATTTGGGGCTGCAATTCTGGAGAGGAGGTGCATGCAGTTTCCTTCAGATCATCCGCCCATTTCAGCAAGGCTTTTACAGATGCACAGCGTATACCAAATGATCTGGCTTTGCGGTTCTAGGTTCTTCCGAAGACACTGCGCCTCTTCCATGAAGGCTCCTCAAGAGGCCTAGCCTGCTTTCAGTGATGGCTACAGCATCTGGCCAGATGTCAGGGACCATTCTGAGGAGGGCTGCACGGAGGAAGATTGGTGGGAGCCACCCCTTCTTCCTGATCCTGAATCTTCCCAGGAAGCAGGAGGGCAGTATAGATTTGGAAGAGTGGTTTGCAGAGGGGCACAGTTCAGAAGGCAGAAGCTAGGAAATACTGGATGGCGAAACAGCTAGCAGAAGAAACACTAGCAGAGAGAGGGTTAATGCTGTATTGTTTTTAACTCTCGATTGGAAGCTGCCCAGAGTGGCTGGGGAAACTTAGCCAGATGGGCGGGGTATAAATAATAAATTATTATTATTATTATTATTATTATTATTATTATTATTATTATATTAACAGATTCACAGTCTCAGGACAGCATTCACCCCCCCTTCCCCAAAGACATGGAGAGTTCAGAAAGCGCCAGAACAGAAAGCAAAGAGGTTACAAGCTCATATTGCAATACATAGGAATGATGTAGTAGACTAATAGGGACAGAGGGAGGGGGAGTAAGACTTAATTGGGAGCACCGCCATTCTAGATAGACGTGTTCGTTTTTCTCACCCCGTGATTATTAAGGAATCTAACTGGTAAGACGTTCCTTTCGTGGGACTACGATTCCCATCATCCCTGACCACTGGTCCTGTTAGCTAGGGATGATGGGAATTGTAGTCCCAAACATCTGGAGGGCCAGAGTTTGCCTATGCCTGGGTTAGAGTATCAGGCTAAGGACCTGGGAGATCAGAGTTCAAATCTGTCCAACCAAGCATGTGGGGTGACCCCGGGGGCCAGTCAGAGTCTCTCAGCCTTGCCCACCTCACAGGGTTGTTGTGGGATAAAATGAGGGGCGAGAAGAGAACTGGGCATGACACCTGGAGCCCCTTGGGATCTCAAGGATCCGATACGCAGGTAATAAATAAATACATATGTGATTTCGGTTGGGATATTGGTTTGGGAACTGGGCAGACCTTTCTCCCTACTTGGGGGTCAGCCCCGCCAGACTCAGCACGGCTTCCTCCTGAGTAGGAGAGCCACCGTGAACCCCCTTCCCTCTTCACTTTCTCCGCGGCGCAAACAAGACTCATATTTCTCCTCTTTGACCACGGCTAATGATTTGGTTAATTGATCTCCGACAAGGTTGCTGCTTCTCTTTCCCGGCGGATCGATATCAGAAATCTTTCAAAGACTGGAGGGATATTTCCACCCACCACCACCAAACCTTTCGCTCTCTTCGTTAAAAAAAGAAGAAAAAAAAAGTAATTCTTCAGCCAACCTCCACCCTTTCCTCTGTCCCCAAATTGAAAAGGCCCATTGATTCGGAGGAGGAGGAGAAGGGGAGGAAAAGAGGGCAGGGATCGATAGAACGGGAAAACAATTAAAGTCAGGCCTCTGACTCCTGGAACAAGTTTAAGTGGCGGGTCTGGAAGGCAACAGAGCGAGGAGGTCTCTTCCTCGCGGCCCCGGGAGGTATCTGGTGCCCTTGACAGTGAGAGACGAGAAAAGGGGGGAAGAGTTGTGTGTGCGGTGCAAGGAATCATAGAATCATAAAACTACAGAGTTTGAAGGCACCCAAAGGTCATCTGGTCCAACCCACTGCAATGCAGGAACCTCCGCTAATGGATCCCTGGCAGATGAGCCTCCAATCTTGGTTTAAAAACCTCCAAGGAAGGGGGGGGGGCTACTTTTTTTTTGGTCTCTACTTTTTAAGATGCTATCTAGAGACAGCAGAGACATCACCTTGCCAACAAAGGTCCGTATAGCAAAAGCTATGGTTTTCCCAGTAGTGATGTATGGAAGCGAGAGCTGGACCATCAAGAAGGCTGATCACCAAAGAATGGATGCTTTTGACTTATGGTGCTGGAGGAGACTCTTGAGAGTCCCATGGACTGCGAGAAGATCAAACCTCTCCATTCTGAAGGAAATCAGCCCTGAGTGCTCACTGGAAGGACAGATCCTGAAGCTGAGGCTCCAAGACTTTGGCCACATCATGAGAAGAGAAGACTCCCTGGAAAAGACCCTGATGCTGGGAAAGATGGAGGGCACAAGGAGAAGGGGACGACAGAGGACGAGATGGTGGGACAGTGTTCTCAAAGCTGCCAGCATGAGTTTGACCAAACTGCGGGAGGCAGTGGAAGACAGGAGGGCCTGGCGTGCTCTGGCCCAGGGGGTCACGAAGAGGCGGACACAACTAAATGACTAAACAACAGGCAAAGAATCAATTAAAGAACTTAAACAAAGCAAGCACACCACAGAGGATGCTCTGCCCCATTTTAACGCCATCAGCGGTACAGCTTAATAATGTCTATTAATGTTTTCCCACTTCTCTTTGCAACAGAGTTTCTCAAACTAGGGTCCCCAGCTGTTTTTGGACTACAGTCCCCATCGTCCCTGACCGCTTGGTCCTGCTAGCTAGGGATGATGGGAGTTGTAGTCCAAAAGCAGCTGGAGACCCAACTTTGGGGAAAACTAGATTTACAACATTACCATCTCGACAAGACCACCTCCGAGTGTAGCCATCATGTCCAGCACATTTGCCCCCTGCTTCCATAAATTTATTCAGTCCTCTTTGAAAAACATCTGAGTCGGTGGCTGTCGCTTCCATAGTTTAACTGCATGGAGAATGACTTTCTGTTTCCTGTCCTGAATCTTCCAACATTCATTGGATGCCCAGGAGTTCTAGTGTTCCAAAAGAGAGAGAAAACTTTTCTCTGCGTCCTCCATCATTTTGTAAATTCCTACAAATTGTGTCTCCTCTTGCTCAGCTTTTCTCTAAACCAGATGTTTTCAACCTTTTCAAGACCACGGCTCCCTTGACCAACTCTTGGGCTTGCCGATCAGAAGGTTAGTGGTTCGAATCCCTGTGACGGGGTGAGCTCCCGTTGCTCGGTCCATGCTCCTGCCGACCTAGCAGTTCGAAAGCATGCCAGTGCAAGTAGATAAATAGGTACCACTGTGGCGGGAAGGCAAACGATGTTTCTGTGCACTCTGGTTTCCGTCATGGTGTCCCGTTGCACCAGAAGTGGTTTAGTCCTGCTGGCCACATGACCCAAAAGCTGTCTGCGGACAAACGTTGGCTCCCTCGGCCTGAAAGTGAGATGAGCGCCGCAACCCCATAGGCACCTTTGACTGGACTTAACCATCCAGGGGTCCTTTACCTTATCTTTTTACCTTACCTTGATCAACTACATTCTTTCTGTGGCACTCCTATGGGGCTCAGGAGCCCAGTTAAGTCCTCCCTTGCCTGCAAAGCTGGCAGCCCCTCACACCTTTTTTGAACCCCCTCCCTTGTGGGTTGTTCCCTCAGCCTCCTCTCCTCTCTGCTGGGGAGTCCTCCGGTCAGCCGCTGGTCTATGAACTGCCCCCCAACCACCCCAAAGAGAGGTGGTTTTTGCCCAACATGGGGCTCGATTTCACAGCCCTGAGATTAAGAGTCCTATGCTCTCCAGACTGAGATATCCTAGTCCGGGGTGTCCTTCAATTCAGTGGGTGCAATCTGGATGCAACCCAGATTCCCTTGTAGATCAGTGAGAAAGCTACAGTTCAATCCCCAAACACCTTCTGCTGAACCCTGGTCTAGTCTTGCCTCACCCAGTGCCGTATCCCTCTTCCCGAGGGCTGAACCCCCTTTTGACCTGCAGCCTTAGAAGGATTAGGGATGGAAGAGAGATTTGATTCAGTACGCATTTTAAGCCGAATCTATAAAATCCATACTTTCCCAAAGCAAAACGCAACATTCAATTGAAATTCACACTCATCTGAATTTTGCAATGTGGTTCTCCAACTGACCCAACATGTGTACTTTAGGTGAAAGCGCATGTGAGGATGAAGAAGACGCTGGCGAAAAATAACACAGCGAAATGCATTTTTTAGCCGAGAGAAACTGCATGCAAAAATGTGTACGGGAAAAGAGCACATGTACAAAAATTTTTGCATTTGGTGAATTTTCACGAGGACTTTAAAAAATACGGAAAAACGGAGAGAAGCAAACTGGACCAATTCGGCTGTCTCTAATCAGGGTCCCACAAAGATGTATACAGTGGTATCTCGGGTTAAGAACTTAATTCGTTCTGGAGGTCTGTTCTTAACCTGAAACAGTTCTTAACCTGAAGCACCACCTTAGCTAATGGGGCCTCCCGCTGCCGTCGTGCGATTTCTGTTCTCATCGTGAAGCAAAGTTCTTAACCCGAGGTAATATTTCTGGGTTAGCAGAGTCTGTAACCTGAAGTGCATGTAACCCAAGGTACCACTGTATTGAGGAAAGCTAACCATTTTAGAAACTGGAGGGACTGCTGTGGAGGTGTTTCAACCCCCCCCCCAAAAAAACCAAGCACACACTGCAGCCTTTCCTGTTAGTTACAATAAAAACGTTTCTTTCAAGCCCGATTTCAGCAGCAAAGGGAGGGGGCAACCAGGGAGCAGGAAAGGTCTCTATGGGGGTACGGGCCCCCCCACAAGCACTGTACCGGCATACCCTATATTTTATATATATTGAAATTCCGTCCACCGCGCACACAATGGGCTGGATTTCAAGTGTGGGGGTGGAGGGGGCCGTTCCCCGGGACGTGGTCGGCGCGGACACCCCCAGCAGCCGCAAAAAACAGCGAGGGGCTCATGCATAATTCACGGGCGCCTGCCTTCCGGAATTATACTGTAGGAAAATGCAATATTTTGAGAGAGGGGAGCGAAGGGACGGAGGTAGCTTAAAAAGGGATCGGGCTCTGGGGGTGGGGGACATGGCGGGCCTTTTCTCAGTGTGGATACCCCCCATCGCCCGGACATCTGCAAAGAGATAAAGAAGTCCTGTCCCTGCCTCGGATTCCAGCCCCATCACTCCGCTGAATGTTTTGCGATTCAGGTCTGGGCCGAGAAGGCACCTTAAATCCTTCCTCCCCATTGTCCCTTTTCACGGGGCTCTGAAAAAAGGCGGCATGGGGGCGCCGAGCGGGCGGCAGCCCCCCACCCCACAAAAGGGACATCAATAACATCTTTGAAGGCAGCCAGTCGTCCGTCCCGGAGTTCAAGGAGATTTGCCGGCGGGCAAGGGAGAGAAGGGGAGCCCGCCCAAGAAAGGTTTCTGCTTGGGGTCGACTCGGTTTCCCTTCCCGCAGACCTGGGATGGAATCCTGGAATCGCAGGATTGGAAGGGGTCCCAAAGGTCATCCAGACCAACCCCCTGCAATGCAGGAATGCAATGGAATCACAACGTTGGTGGAAGTCGGTGGGGTGGAGGGAACGGAAGCCCACTGTTCTCGCCAGTCCCAGGAAGCGTGGGTTCAGGGAGGCTGAGCTAGCATTGGACAAAGTACAGAAAGACCAACATTCAAATCCCAACTCAGCTGTGAAGCTCATAACAATAATAATTTACCCTGCTCACCTGGCTTGGTTTCCCCAGCCACTCTGGGCGGCTCCCAACAGAATATGAAAAACACAATAAAACATCAAACATTAAAAAGTTCCCTATCCAGGGCTGCCTTCAGATGTCTTCTAAAAGTCAGATAGTTGTTTATCTCCTTGACATCTGATGGGAGGGCGTTCCACAGGGTGGGCGCCACCACCGAGAAGGCCCTCTGCCTGGTTCCCTGTAACTTCACTTCTCGCAGGGAGGGAACTGCCAGAAGGTCATTGGAGCTGGACCTCAGTGTCCAGGCTGAATGATGGGGGTGGAGACGCTCCTTGAGGTATACTGGGCCATTTAGGGCTTTCAAGGTCAGCACCAACACTTTGAATGGTGCTCAGAAACGTCCTGGGAGCCAATTGGCTGACAATCCCTCTCTCAGGGTCGCTATGAGGATGGAGCACAGGAGTAATCATTGTGACATTGCAGACTTGGTCTTGTCGCTCACACTTTACCAAGTTTGTCATCCTCAGTTTCAACTTTTAAATGCCGCCTGAAAACGTACCCGTTCCATCAGGCAATGAAGAATGCATCTTTCCAAAATAGTTAACGGATGTCTGCTTTTGACTTTTTAACATGGTTTCATATGTGCTGTCGTTGTGAAACGCTCAGACTTTTGTTTAATGAACAGTGATATTTAAAAATAAATAAATAGGAATAAATCTTTTTGTGCTTGATCTTACTTTTACAGTATGTGGGGAGGTTATTGTTTTTGTTTGTTACTATGTAATGTAGTACTATGTAATGTAGTATGTATGTAGCTATGTAATGTAGTGGGATGCGGGTGGCGCTGTGGGTTAAACCACAGAGCCTAGGACTTGCCAATCAGAAGGTCAGAGGTTCGAATCCCCACGACGGGGTGAGCTCCTGTTGCTCGGACCCTGCTCCTGCCAACCTAGCAGTTTGAAAGCACATCAAAGTGCAAGTAGATAAATAGGTACTGCTCTGGCAGGAAGGTAAACGGTGTTTCCGTGCGCTGCTCTGGTTCGCCAGAAGCGGCTTAGTCCTGCTGGCCACATGACCTGGAAGCTGTATGCTGGCTCCCTCGGCCAGTAAAGTGAGATGAGCGCTGCAACCCCAGAGTCGGCCACGACTGGACCTAATGCTCAGGGGTCCCTTTACCTTTACCTATGTAATGTAGTGGTGTCCCTCCTGTGGAACGCCCTCCACAGCGAGGAACGGGAGAATCTCCATGTTTCCAACTTTACATTCAATTATCCACATTTCCACATCAGTTTCCATTAAAAGAAAAGAAAAAAGCGTGAATATTTGTACGCAATTTGGCCTGACGTACACGCTTTTGCAAAGCGATAATGCATTGCCATTTTTGCATGTTATTTTCACAAATGCACAGATGCAGAGACATCACCTTGCCAACAAAGGTCCGTATAGTTCAAGCTCTAGTTTTCCCAGTAGTGATGTATGGAAGTGAGAGCTGGACCACAAAGAAGGCTGAACGCCGAAGAATGGATGCTTTTGAATTCTGGTGCTGGAGGAGACTCTGGAGAGTCCCATGGACTGCAAGAAGATCAAACCTCTCCATTCGGAAGGAAATCAGCCCTGAGTGCTCACTGGAAGGACAGATCCTGAAGCTGAGGCTCCAAGACTTTGGCCACCTCATGAGAAGAGAAGACTCCCTGGAAAAGACCCTGATGTTGGGAAAGATGGAGGGCACAAGGAGAAGGGGACGGCAGAGGACGAGATGGTGGGACAGTGTTCTTGAAGAGATCAACATGAGTTTGACCAAACTGCGGGAGGCAGTGGAAGACAGGAGTGCCTGGCGTG